TGTTGGAGGGTGTGTTATTAAATGTTAAACTAGAATTCAAAACGTTTTGATTACAAGATGCAATAGTAATCAATTCTTTTTTAAAAACTAAATGTGTTAAACTTAATTCAATTAAATAATGTAATATAGAGGTTTTTTATTTTAACCTAGCTATTCGAATAACTTTTTTATTTGACATATCACATACGGGATGTTTTAGTACATACATAAAAATAAAAAAAGCCATTAATACGGTTTAGCTTACATGCTAAACATAAAGTAAATATGCCTAAAGAAATACAATATTTAGTCCATATCTATACTTAATATATATCTACAATCATACTAAATAATGATAAAGGCCGGCATCGCACTCGCGAGCCCTTTGGCATTGAGAGTGTCCACACTGGGCGAGACACCGGTAGTCAGGCCGATGATGAGAGTGAGCCTCCTGCCTCGCTTCCTCGCCGGCCGCCCTCGCCTTTCGGTCCCTTGGTTTTGGCGAACGAGTCAAAGGGTCTGAGTATATATACATCTACATTACACACTTGTTCATCACTTGCTCGATGGAATGGATTATAAAGAAATATGGTCTAACAACGTTAGAGTTTTGGGAGGTAACATAGGTAACCGTTATTATGGAAATCCGACAGGATGTAGTACCTATATTAAACAATGTCAAAATATGCTTGGAGGCGAAGAAGCCTATCCGATGGGTATCCCCAATTGAGGAACTAAAGAAAAAGCGAGATTCACCCATGGCTACGTACCGTGTACATAAAAGAAAGATTAATGCATCTATACAATCAGGCGCTTGCAGCTGACTCTGTCTATAATACCAATATGGTTTGCAGATTTTATGGATTCGTTTAAACGTTGACATAACTCAATAGATAACAAAACTGTAATATACAGAAACACCAAGTAAACACAGTAACGCAATTAATTTTTTATAGTTGTAGGTTAGGACGTCACCGAACATTACAGTTTAAATAAGGCCATTAGAAACAAAGGCCCTAGCTGGTAAGTTTTCTATTCAGACCATAATTAGGTATACACAATGAATACCTATAATAATAAAAAATTGCACATTTGCCTGTAATCGTACTCTTTGGCAGGCTTATACAAAAATATAGTTTTCTTAAATAAAATTATTATTAAGGTATACCTAAAAATTTAAGTTGTATAAATCACTATAATGTAAACTATATTAATAACCTATGCTATAACGATGTAAGAAATTGTTGCAAATTCATCGCTAATTTCATTTGCATTCAGTGATGATCTTTTTCTATTTGTTGTAAGGTCTATTTTTTTTATGGTAAACGTGAAGAAAATTATAAAACTTATTGCACAAAGACAAAAGCAGATGCTTACTGGTACATAAACGGTTTTTATACAAATAACTAACAGTGTGTATGAGGCTGGCTCTTTGTTGTCGATCGCGAGAGACCGAATGAGTACAGCTGCACCATGAGAGTGTCCATGGGCGGCGTTTACTTATCGCAGGTGAGCCTCCTGCGTTTTGAAGAAAAAACTGTTTACATCTACTTAAAGTATAGTGATTAGATTATAAAGAAATATAGTATAACGACATGTTAGAACATACCTACCCTACCTATTAAAACCACAGGTTTATACTTATTTTGTACAGGTAACATATTTTTGGGATTAAGAATCCTATTCGCTCGGTAAATTTTTAATTAACCAAAAGCCTTGAACCCAACCGGACCGTTTCATTTAAAGGTGCTCCCGTCCCTAAGCCGCTTAGGTGCCTAAATAGTAAATGAGACATCGTATAAACGTTTGCCTCTCTGATAACAAAACTGTAATATACTGTACATCCAAGTAAATGCTAACGTCAATTAAGTTTGGATGACGTCACCGAACGTTACATTACGGCCGTTACTTAACGGCACCGCTTTTCTAGGAAACCTAAGGTTAACAACCGTAAAATGACGGCCGTTAGTTAACGGTGCGCTTTTCAAGGAAACCTAAGCTTAAGTAAAGAAAAGAAAGTCAACAAAATAGAATTTATTGTATCTCTCTATGGGTCCATTCTAATAAGGAGGCTTTTGATTTTGTAGTAGGATTTTATACATTTTATGCAAACGATCATTCAGGGCAGAAGTAATTCCCTTTAGAAGTAGCAATGAGTACCCAGAAACTTTAGGAAAAAGAGATTATTATTCCTGTAATTATCTTGAACTTGCTGCTTTACGAACCTAAAAAGGGTTTCTGCTTAATTAAGCTTGGGCTTTAACCTTGTTTCGTGACAAGGTATACGTACAAAATATGGCATGATGTTTATCGCCAAGGTATCGTTGGCTAAAAAAACATCATATAGATATCATATCGGCTTTTAACTTTTACAAATTAAAAAAAAAACGTATAGAACATATTATGGTGTATATGACAGAACTGTCATTATTCTGTATTTCTTCTGTTCTGTATTTTATAACAATAACACTTATTGAGCGATTAAATGACGAATTAATAAATACGCTATTCGAGTTATCTCCGTTCTTGAAAATGCAATTACCCACAACGATATTGCATTGCATCAAAATCCATTTAGAGCGAGCGAGAGCCATGAATAATGCAAACGTATACGTCATGTAGAGATCTTCAATAGTTTTTCATGAATCTCATGAACTAGAAAGGTAATTTAAATGTTAATGAATAGATAGTAGACGGTTTTTTATACACTCATATTCGAAGTCTGGTTTAACGATATTTCACATAGCTCGGAGGTTCGATAGTGAACTCAAAAGTTATTATTTAAACCTGGTAGCGAATTCAGCCATCTTGATTTTTAACTTGATTCGATTTATTGATCGATAGGAAATTTGATTTTCCCGTTGAAGTGATAAAATTACCTTGGTAGCCTATGTCCATAACGTATATATCGATAAAAGCCCCAATAAGATTATGGTGCTAAAGCAGTTCTGGATATTTTTCGTACGATTATATAAATTATCATACAAGTAGGACATACGTACCTTAAATATAGCCCTTAAAAAAGAAATATAAGTAACAAAAAGAAGTAGTAAGTTAACGGTGTTATTACAAAAGTTGGACAAAACTCAGTTCCGAGTTCGTTACCATAGATACGATGACCTTTTAAAAAGAATGGTAACCATAGTAACAGAAACTGTAGTAACTTAAGGGAACCTTTAATAAGACCGTCTATGTTCCATTCTAAAACGTATATATACAGAAATATTAGGTCCTTACATATGAAATTGGCATATTTCCTACTGGTCACTTTAATCACGATGTTCTCCTCTTTGGTAAGGAATTCCAAATTCAAATTTGTACAGCTATTTACTCCTGTATTTGTGCTTCGATGACCGTCATTCATTTGTTTTTTTTTCTGTTTTTTTCTGTTTGCGTCACTCATTTTACAAAATGGAAAACTTAAAGTATCGCATTATTTACGAGTACGAGTTCCGCCGTGGCACTAGTGCTGCGGAAACGACTCGAAGGGTGAATGATGTGTATGGCGGTCATGTTGCAAAAGAAAACACAGTTCGTTTTTGGTTCCAACGTTTTCGTTCTGGAAATTTCGACCTGCAGAACAAGCCCCGTGGACGGCCTGAAACCCAAGTTGATAATGAAGTATTGAACGCTATTGTGGAAGCGGATCCATCGCAAAACACTGCGGTGTTAGTGATAAAACTGTTTTAATTCACTTGAAGCAAATTGGGAAGATTAAAAAGCTTGAAAGATGGGTACCTCACGAATTGACTGAAGCAAACCGGCAAACGCGCGTCGACTGCTGCTTTACATTACTGAACCGGCACAATAATGAAGGTATTTTAAACCGAATCATTACCTGTGATGAAAAATGGATTCTTTACGATAATCGGAAGCGCTCAGCGCAATGGTTGGGTCCTGGCCAGCCAGCCAAATCCTGCCCCAAGCGAAAATTAACCCCAAAAAAGTTACTTGTAAGCGTTTGGTGGACTAGTGCCGGTATTGTTCATTGCGTTTTCCAAATCTGGCCAGACTATTACGGCTGATGTCTATTGTCAGAAATTGCAAACCATGATGGAAAAGCTAGCGGCTAAACAACCTTGACTGGTCAATCGCTCCACGCCACTGCTACTTCACGACAACGCTAGACAACACACTCCACAACAGACGGCTACCAAATTAGAAAAGCTTCAATTGGAATGTCTAAGACATCCTCCGTACTCCCCGGACCTTGCTCCAACAGATTACCATTTTTTTCGAAATTTGGACAACTTCTTGCAAGGGAAAATTTAATTTTAATTTAACTCTGATGGGGCAGTCCAAATCGCCTTCACAGATTTTATTGATTCCCGTCCGACTGGTTTTTTTTAAGTAAAGGGATCAATGAACTACCTATGAGATGGCAAAAGTGCATAGAAAACAATGGTTCATACTTTGATTAATTAAATATATTATATTTAAAAAAATATTCGACTTTTTGTTCCTCCCATACAAAACGCCAATTTCATATGTAAGGAGATAGAATATACATAGAATCTACTATTTAAATATGTAGTCGAAATAGAATGTTTATTTAATATGGCATGTTAACGAGGCTAAAGACCCCAACCGCACTTTACTTACAGTCTCGCCTCACTATATTATTTATCTGATAATTACGGTCTTCACGCTAGTTGTAAAATTAATCAAGCAACTATTAGTCGTAAATCGAATGGAGTGTTAAATATATTACATATCAACTTATTGATACTATTAATCATTGTACATACAGAGAACTACGTAATACTGATAATGCTTACACACTAACACAATGATTACCCTTTCGTCTGCTGAAGTGGACAGGCTCAGATCAGAAAACACTAACCCAACGAAACAATAAGATTTTCGTTTCGGTTTTGTTTCTAACTATGGCGATTGAGAGTTTTCTTTTATATATTTGTATAGACTTTCTGTAATAATTCTCACCTAATATTCATTTATTTATTATACAGTTGTGGAAACAGCTTGATGTATTTGCCTTTTAAATCGATTTTCCGTTACAGATTCTGATTTAGAAACTCTGTTAGAAGTTGTGATCGGCGCTAGTAACCAAGGAGTAGCGGCTTCTAAAAATGTCACCCAGGGACCAAACTGGACTTTTGGTCAATCTTTATTCTTTGCCTCCACTGTCGTTACTACTATTGGTATGTTATATGAATCAGAAGAAAGTAGATACTAATGAGTTTTTCTCACATAAAAATACTTCAAGTATCCGAACTCCGAAGTTAACATCAATAAATAAATAAAACTTCTTAATTTTTCAAAGATTCCATATTATACATTGAGATATTATTTTAGGACCGCTATTTTCTGAATATCAACATTACTAATTCAAACGAAAACTGGCCCAGTCTTTGAAATAATTGATATTGACGGGTCTTCCTCGGGTTGAATAATGAAAATACATTTTCTGTACCGAAAATAAATTCATATTGATTGTTTAGACAAAATTAAATGGCCTTCGCCTTTCGAATCTCTTTAATTAAATACCTTCTTCTATTGAATAGAGATATTTTAAAGGAAATCTTTGGGCTTCTGTATACAGATTAAAATAACAAATTAGCTTTACTGTCGCGCTTCATGCCAACATTGTTTTAAACAATTACGAAAAACATCAACTTATATCTTCCAATAGGACATGTAGCCATAACAATTAAACCTGTTTCCAGTTTATATATAATTTTTTTTCAGACAACGGTAGTTATAAAAATGAAATTGACTTCTTTTAAATACATATATAGGAAAACACGTTTTTTTTTGGGATCATGTTAAGTTATTTATTTTAGACGAAATTTAACAGGTTACGGCCACGTGACACCATTGACAAAGCCGGGCAAGCTATTCTGCATGGCTTACGCTCTTCTGGGAATTCCCCTAACTCTGGTGCTGCTATCAGCGCTTGTGGAACGTCTACTGCTCCCTGCCACTGCACTTCTTAGGGCTCTTAACAGCTCTCTTGGACACCTTTATCGGCCGTTCACGATAAGACTTGTGCATCTTAGTATTATTGGTAAGTATGTTGGAAATTAAACGAATACTCGTGGTATTTAAGATTAAGCAGAATTTAAATTAGAAAAAAAATATATATTTTTATTTATTATTGTTTTCCTTAGCCTTAGTGGCAAATCAAAATTGTTATAAAATTACTAACGATTCGTGCTATTTATGTATTCAATATAAGCTTTTTAAATGTTAATTTTTTTGATCACAATGCTTTGCTCACCTTAATGACCAGACTGTTAAATGAATTTCTAAGATGCTCATTTTAATTTTTTCTGCATCTCATAGCAGCGATGTTTTAAATAACTTACTATAACCATTTATTGCAGTTCTAATGTTGGTCGTATTTTTCCTGGTGATACCCGCTGCTATATTCTCTGTTTTGGAGCCCGATTGGGATTATTTGGACTCGTTTTATTATTGCTTCATCTCTATCACCACTATCGGCTTAGGAGACTACATACCCGGAGACTCGCCAGGACAAGCTTACAGGCCTCTATACAAAGTTGCTACTACTTGTAAGTTATCTCTATAATATTCTAATGTACGACGTATATACACTGAACTTCTTTTTTTTAAACCACCTCGAGTAGTTTCTACAAAGCCGCGTTACAGAGGCTCTGGGGTCGGTCTGGTATTCTACCGGGACCACGTATAGACCACTTCTAATTTCCATCCTCGGCCTAGGACGTATTGATACATGAATTCGGAATCTCAGTCTCCTTTCTTAGGTTCGATTCCCTCTGCATACCTTAGAAATTTGACCATGAACTCCGTATACGGTTTAAGAACTCGTCCGGTATCGCACAACCCTGCAAAAGGCAGAGAACAAATTCAAATTTATAGAAATAAACTTGCGCTTTGACCGGGAATCGAACCCGATATCCCTCACCTAACGGACACTGAAAACCGCTACGCCCTGAGGCTGAACTACGTCGGAAATAATTGATTTTTTATAGTTTAGATCTAATAGATCATTTAAAGTACACACATCTATTATAGTTTCTTTTTATTATTCAACATGAAGTTTCGAATCTGTAAACAAACTTTGTAAACCTTCGTTTGGTTCACGGTAGATGCAAAAATCGTAAATATTTATTCTTTCTCTAGATAAATTAATGAAAAACAAATTGAATTTCAGTTTATCTCCTGCTCGGCCTAACATTCCTCATGTTGACTCTGACAGTATTCTACGATATTCCACAATTGAACCTCAGCAGCGTATTCTCATCTATGAAACTAGAGGAAGACCCCGAGAAAATGCGACTTAGTGGCTCCGGAATTTGCCCTGGGTATGGCGTAGGAGGCCTTATGATGAGAGACGATTACAACCATCATGACCAACGCCGTTCCGTGGTTCAAATCAGGCCGCATTTAGATGACAGCCCCAGCCCAGAGGACACAACGCCAGTACACGCAAGAGATATGAGGGTGCCGTAATTATTTTTTTAAATCTCAAGTGCCAACTTCTTATTCTGACCATAAATAATGTGACCTCTTGTGAATTACTTTTGGCCAAGATTTCTATTGTCTATATTACCTACTACAGATACTTATACCGTGCTTAAGAAGCTTTAACTTGGCAACCTTGTAACAAGTATGTTATTACTTATCTACCGTATTATACATTAGTGAATTGTCATTATCTCAGGTCATCATCTGAGGCGCGTAACATAAATTTTTGCTCGATATCGCCCAGATAATTTATTTTTCATATGCTTACCTATCATTATTAGTAGTTTGTTTGATTATTTGTATAAATGAATCGGTCTAATATCCTAACTCACTTGAATTAAGATTATAGGATCTCGTTTTATTTTTGTAACAATGTAATAGTGTGTTATAAATATTAATTTATTTGATACGTAGAGGATATTTCAAAATATAATTTTATGGATGGTATTGTAACCACGTTATTAAAATTATGCATAAATATTTCATGGTTTAACGTATATTTATAGATAAATGTATAGTTTTGTAAATTACTTAAGTAGAATCTATTTGGCAAATGTAGAATGAAACTATTTACACAAATAAAAAAAATTAGTGTTTATCTGTATAGGGTAGAAAAAATATCTAGATTACTGTCTAAATTAACCACATGTCTGAAGATTATTTAATTAAATTAAAACTATTCGAGCAGTTATATTTCTACATACATATTATAAAATTTTAAGCAAAAATATACTTTGTCAGCAATTATCACAATATAACTGACATTTATAGAACCTTCTTGTGTTGATTTTGAATATTGAAGAGATGAAGATTTTTAGTATGTAACTGCACCGTCTCTAATATCAGACAAATTATACATCATATCAACAGTTTTAGAACACGATATACAATATTTTTTAACGATAATGTAAGGAGACTATTGTCCAATAATATTACTTATTTCGAACCTATAACTTGAGGTATAGCAGGTTCTGTATGAGCTTAAACGTTTCTATCATAGTTCTCAATTGTTAAAATAACGTTGCAAATATTAAAGCACACAATATAATATAATATCAGACTTACGTGTAGCATCTAACACAAGTGACTGTTGTAGATATACGCAAAAATCCTTTCAATTTATACGTATTCATATTAGACAACGTACTATGAGTGCAAATATAAAACTTTAGAAGAAACCAATATTTGCTTCTGTATTTTAAGGTATTATGTATTTGTAATATAATAATAAAATAAAGATCTATATATACTAACAGAGCTTTTATTAAAATGCTGCCTTTTTTTAATTTGCAAATATCAGTAAAACACAACTTTTTTATTTGTCATAGAGATATTGTGAACAAGACAATTTCAATACCTAGGCCAGAGGGAATTATTTACCGATCCACACCTCACATGAAACTAGGGATTCACCTAAAAAATAAAACTACTTATTTCTTAAATTATTTATATTTATTTCTGAATGCATATAAATTTGCGGACTTTCTGTTACAATAGTAATCTTTGACTGATTAATTTAATTTTGTATAAAACGCTAAATTTTTTCATACATCTATTGTACCAGAGGACCAGTCATTCTAAAAACAGAAAATTCACACGCAATAATTTATATACTACTTTTAATCTTAAAATAATATACCACCTACTTAGGTATCTAGATTTAATTCAAACACACGCGCACTCTGAGCTCGTTTCAACAATAACGTCACCCATACATCGAAACAAAACACAAATGGTATTAGTACATAACAATATTGTGCCGATTGTGAAAAATATTTAGTCACAAACACATAAACATTCTGGTTCCAATAACCTTCTTAAGAATAATAGAACGTTGTGTTGTTGTCTCGCAACGCTCTTTTGTGGTTCTAGCAAATTATTGTTAGTTATTATTAAAGAAACCCATTGCATTCAGTTGTATTAAGATATGTCTTACAGTAAGATATGAAAAGCCATGTTTATGTTTTAAGGCGGCGTCCAAACTTTTGGTATCTAGTTTTAATAATTATAAATTAGCTTGGTCCAGACTAAATTTATTTAAAGTATTCCAAATCGGGTGATATATTAAAGTTCGCATTCCTGAATTTTAATATTGCTATTTTGTACTAATATACATTTTTGCGTAGATTGAATATTCTAAGTATTAATATCTAAAGATTTTAAAAAGTAATCCTATAATAACTTATCTATTGCTTAACACATGAGATAAAAATATCTCAAAATATAACGCCTCGCCAAAAAATAGAGTGACCCGATTCACTGAAATGAAATTAATTTAGAGCAAATTGTGTCACTCTTTCAATCAGCGTTATTAAAATATGATATCTTTTTGTTTATTTTTATGTACAACAATCGTTATTCCATAAGTTTACATGTCATATATAAAAACTACGTTAAAAGTTAAAAATAAAATGATATTAAAATTGTGATTTAGTGATATTCAAGTAAGCATGCGATATTATGAAACTTGAACATAACACAGCCTGGGAATCTATTAATTGTATAATTGAAATGTGCGTATTAAAATGTTAAAATCTATGTAGAATTCTATTTATAATAAAATAAAATTGCCCATTCCACGAATTTGTTGTATCACGTTCGTCAAGGCGATTATAAAATGGCCGACAAAAACATCGCCATTTTTCACAAATAAAAAAATATTATGCCGCCGAAGTATAACTTAGACTTTTCCAGGTGAATACAATAACGAGAAATTCCTCTTACGGTTTTGTCATTTCGAGTGTTTATTTGAGAACTAGTATGGCATTTATACAGAGCAATGAGGGGTTGTATGACGGTTGAAAAGAAAACATTGAAAAGTTTTACGAGGAATGAAAGCGACATTACGAAAGTGATTGATAGCAGAGGAAACCAGTGGAATGATTGTTAGAGTCTGACACGGCATAGATACGCCATGACCATGCAAATGTATGGAATGAGATTGAGAAACGGTTAACACAAAAAAAAGATTTAGACAACGAAACCAATCCGAAGTTCCTGAATATTAATTAGGCCTAACTCGCATAGTTATTTTAGTAAAACTTACACTAATGAAGTAATGGTCTGTAAAATGGCAGTTACATAGTCCTTAGTAAAGTTTACTTAAAATCATCTTAGTTACCAAACTAATTAACAATAGGCACATTACATTCTTTTACAACTTGGCAAATTATGGATCGACTATCCCTTTTTAAAATTACTAATGAACGTTTTATAAATCCGCCGAATATCATACAATCAAACAAAATGAAACTAATTACCAATTTAATGTGTTGCCATATTTCCCACTATTTCCACGAATGTTGCCAAGCTGTAACTGTCAATTTGACAAAACCGTAAGCTTACATTATATTTGTGTATATTATTTCTTGGAAGGTGGTTTCCGTGGTGTGCGAGTGGTTTTACCCGTCGATGTAGAGGGAGTGGGAACGATTGGCGAGCTTTTTGCCTCTGAAATATTCACAAAATTATATAAGGTGTTCATGCCGATTTTTCAACTTGTTTTATCTGAAGTGGTCGATTTTGTTCCACCAACGCGCTATCTCCTTCTCATCTTTGAGAATCTCATCAAATTACGAAAAGACTTATAAAATATACTTAGAAAATTGAATAAAAAAGCGATTAAGCGATAAGACAAATTTAGTACCGAAATTCGGGGCTTGGCCCATAAAACGAACAATTAATAAAAATACAAAATATTGAACAGCTACTCAAGGCAAGTTTTATGGGCAGTTAAAAATAAATATAATACTCGATAGTATTCGTAAATATTTATTTTAAGCCAACACAAAATCGACCCAAATGGCGGTTGAACACCTTATATCACTATTTTAGCTTAGAACTTACTCTAACAGATGTTCTAAGCTAAAATTTCGCGATGCATATACCACTCACACAAATAACATATATGTATTCTGAATAATATATTATATTTAAATTAATAACAAAATTATAAATTCAGAATATATATTTTTACAAAGCGCACGTTTAGCTTAGAACACCTCTAACTACAGACGAAGCGACAATTCAATAATTAATTTAACCGACCCGGTAGTGATGGCGCTTACATTTACGAATAACAATAAATTTTCCTAAAAGACAGTTCTAATTTTCATCACCGGGTCAGAAGATTGCGCGTGACTAAATATTCAAGACTGCAGAATAAACAGGCCTTTGTAATGGTGAGGCCAAACGAGCGTGAGTTTTGTGAGTCGTGAGTCGCAGAATTTCGTTCGCAGAAATTCTGCCTGGCAGAAATTCTGTTGGGATGCCAGACGAGCGCATTTTATTCAGTTACTATCGAAAGTTTATAGCGGATGTTTATGTCGTGCAATAGAATCGTTGAAAATTTTGTGTATTTACGAAGCATATTTAGAAGACGAAGAAGTAGATAATGCCAGAAAAAGATGCTGGGTAAATCCACTTAATAGTGAAAGACTGGTGCTTGGACAGCGCTGGGCCCCTCGCCCCCCCGCAAACACAATTCGGTCCGAATAATGCGTGTGAGTCGGCAGACAACTCATTTTGCGTCGCCGTGTGAATGAAACAGGACTTTTGTATGAAACCAAATGCAGCAGAAATTATGCGACCGAAATTACGCAACTCACAACTCACAAAATTACGCTCGTTTGGCCTCACCCTAGGAATTTCATTGTTGAAGCTAGTTTTAATTTATTTAGACTTGAATTGAATATTTAGACATCAAGTGTATAACAAGTAGTCTCACAAGAATGCAAAAATAAAAGTCTACATGTGTACTTCATTAAGCTAAACTAAGTCCCAAAAGCTACATTGTTTCATTTGGAAAAAAAAACACTGCTTTTATTTGTAATAACAAACATTCATTTGTAATTACCAATGTAAAATAAAACACACTTAATTAAACCAGTATCAACTTTGCTTTATAATTTAAAAAACTAAATATGTATTATTCAACGTATTCATCTTCGTCTCTACGTATACGTACGTGTACATTTTTGGGAAAATGGATACTTTTCTTTAGTAAAATCCCAGAGGCTCTTTTATCTCTGCCTTTTAACAAATTTAAGAAATGTATTAAAGAAAAGCTGTGTAATAAGGCTATGCTATTAAGTTAACCATTTTTGTTGATAATATATATATATATAGATATAGATAAATTGTTTAAGTTGATAAAAGGGCCTGGGACTAGTGCAAGCCAGGCTACTTCTTATTTATTTGTTTTAAAATAAGTGTTGTTTGCCAGTACCGAGAGTTTTCTACGCCGGCTTTTTCTTTCGGCCTACACCCACCCACCACACAATCTTCTTTGCCGATGAGCATTTACCGAATCAAATTTAATGACGTGGAATAAGTGATACCTGTATCTTATATTCCATAATAAACATATTTAATTTTTTATTTTATAAGTTAATGTAGATAAAATCCAGAATATTTGTAAAGCAAAGTTGCTACTAGCTATAACACATTACAAATCGATAAAACGCATAAACATTTTAACAAGTTACAACCATTAAAACCTATAGAATAAACTGTTTACCTTTGGCCGCTTTTCTGCCCTTGCGCGTGACCGGCGATTCCGTTTTGGCCGGCGAAGTTTTGGCCGGTGTGGCTTTGGTCGATCTAGTGGGCGTCTTTTTGGTCGGAGTTTTTTTATCCGATTTCTCCGACACCGCAGTGGCCGTCTGTTCAAAATATTTTTATGTAAACACTATAACTACGACTACGTTACAGAACTCAGGTTTTGATATAAAATACGGTTCTATAAAAATATATAACACTGGGATTATTTTAAAAAGAATTCTGCAATTTTATTATTATGTATATAGAAATTATTTTTATATCGGAATCAAAATTTTAATCATCTGTTTATTTCCATGCGTATTTATCTTAGTAGCATTTCAATGTCTCAATACAATTATACAAGAAAAATCTTAAGGGACAGGTGACTTTATTAAATAAGCCCAGTGTTAATAAACCTACTCATATTTTAACCCAGTTAAGCCTGGCAGAGCTGATGCGACACTTTTTTACTCATAAAGACCCAAATACAATATGTATCTTTATTAAAAGGAACATCACATTACATGCATTAAGTACATGCTTAATATTAAGAATTTCGAAGAAATGAAAAAGTTTTTAAATAAACACCAAATTTCACACTTTAAGCAAGCAATGTATGATGCATGACTTTGTTAGTCTAAAATTAAAGAAAGGACTCCTCGACAAATAATATGTTATGCTTTGGAATTTTACTGATTGCAAATATATCGTAATTAATTTACTAGATTTGTGGCCATTTTTCATAACATACACGGATATAGTATGAACTACAAGTTTATTTGTGGTTTTGGATTTGCGAAGCAGTCAGTTTGAAATATGAATGAACTGCGAATGTATGAGTGAAAATAAAAATATAAATAATACCTCGACCCAATCAAAATAACTGACGAAAGTTGAACCGCGTTCTAACTATAACATGCGAGTTGCACCATTTGAATTATCATTCTTAGATCTATTCAAGATTCATACAACTCTGCGCCAACGTCTGTTCAGAACTCTTTATTCATAGAAGATATATTATAGAATATAAAAAACCTCTGCGTTATGAATAAAATAAAATTTACTTCAATAATTCTTGTTTAAGTTAAGACAATTCCTTCTAAACAGACGAAGCCCATCGTATCGCACATCCAAACCGTACGGGGGCGGCACAGACACACATACACACAGAGGCTCACCACTTTAACACTTAAACTTCCATTAAACCAATTTTTTTTTAATTAAATTAAAGTTTTTAACCCCACTGGTATGCATTAAAGTGGCAACCCCACACAATCCACAATGTATGTAAGTGAGATGAGAGCAGTACGTACATGTCTATAAATCCGCCGTACTATGCCTACCTTGCTTGTGACCGCCACACTGGGCGTACTACCTGATGATTTCGCTTTAGCGGAGTTTTTGCCCGATTTTGGGGACTTTCTCTTTTTCGCGGAGCGCGGACTACGCTTTGGTGTCGTTCGGGCTTTTTTACTAGGGGTAGCTTCTTCCTTCTGAAAGAGGAATGAGTTTCGTGTGTACTATGTTAACTGTATTGGAGCAATTGTCACTCATAATGACGTAACATTATGACGGAATACTTATAAAGGTGGGATCCTTTTAACAGTTAGTGTCGCCTTAATGACAGCTATATGTTGTCAACAGCAACGCTGATTTTTCAGTGTGTTTGAAAATGGAATGGACTCATAATTTTTTTTTTTATGTGAAATTAAATAAAATAACTTACCGAAGTATCAGTGTCCTCTTTCGAATTAGGCGAAGACTTTGAGCTGGAGCGTTTCCTCGATTTCTTTTCGAGTTGTGACTCGTCTGTGTACAGCGAGAGATCCACTGACAAACAGATTTAAATATTTCACTATTTTCCTTTAACAGCCTCCAGGGTTAGTGTTTAGGTTAGTTCAGCTTTTCCAAAAGTTCAATGATAATAGTTTTTTTTTTTTAATAATTTTGAATTAGGTTAGACTTATTTGGATAATAGAAGGTTTCTGATCAGAGTTGTCAATACTATCAGTATGTTTATTTTCTAAATGACTATATTTAGGTGAAGGTAAACATAAATCAGAGTTTGATTTAGAAAATACTATTTGTTTTATTTTTACTAAATATTGTTTTAAAAAAACATAAATATATATGATTTTTTCAGATTTCAGAGTCGGTGACTATATCCAAATTTCGTAAATAATATTAAATATTGATTAAATGTTTGAAAATTATAGACAACATGTTAATTATGCTGTAATTTCAACTACAACCAAGGTAAAACAGAATTAGTTAATGAGGGTGGATGACTGTTAAAGGTTAGTTTGGTAAATGAAATGAATAGTGAAATTATTAAAATCTATTCATATAAAAATAAAAATATTTATTAAAATACAGTTTTAATGGATAAAAATGTATAAAAAACTGTTGTGTAGAAAATTTCTTGCCACTGTCAATGATAGCAGCTTATTACTTATTAATCCTTTAAAACTGTAAATAATTAAGATATGTATTGTGTAAATAATTAAAAATGCAACTTAAAAAAAATATCTTATAGAATACGGAGTGTGATAATGCTTAACTATGGAATATTTTTTTGTTAGTCTGTGCTGACGTCATGGGATTTGAGGTGGCGGCAGTGCTTTTTTGTTATGTTCACAACACTGTTACGTAATTATAGTTGGATATTAATAATTGATGTAATATGCAAACAATTAAAGTAGCAAATAATAAATATTAGTTTGCATAACTACCACTCCAGACAGTGTGTCATTAACAGTATTCACATATGAACCTGAAATTGGTCTCGGTGACACTTGATAATAAATGGTTCTACAAGAGTTTTTTATTTATAAAGAAGTTGGTTTGTGGTTTTCGTGTAGGATTGTGTGAGTTAATTTGTATGTGTGAGTTAATTTGTATGTGTGTGTAAGCTGCTTAGTTACTGAAAGCAGTCAATGTGTGTGTAGAGATGCTTTTAATTGGATGGTTGCAACTCACGTCCATCAGGGTGTTCCTCCGTCAAGGGTATGTTGGCCCCACTTTGTTCAGCCTTCAGCGCCCTCTGTAGTATAGAAGTGGCACGAGCTTGTTCGGCCGGTCGCAGTAACCACGCCCCGCCTCCACTTGCAGACCGCGTCAGAGATAGTGTAGTTAGTACACACTCCATATCTGTAAATTATAAAACATAAGTTGGCTACATAGTATTTTCAAGTTGTCTTCAGAGGTCAAAGTCCAGAGTTCAATGCACAATAATTTCTGCAGTTTCAGAACAAAAAGTACCTTACGCCAATAAATAAAGATTCGTACAGAACCATAGATAATAATTATTATTTATCCTTATATGGTTATATCATACAATAGTGAGTATATTAATACTCATAATCACAGTAATAACAGACATTGTTAAATCTTTCAGCTTGAATTTTAGACAACTCATTGGTCTAGTGGTTAGTACCCCTGACTGCGAATCCATGGGTCCCGGGTTCGATCCCCCCTGAGACAAACATCATTGATGAATTTGGTGTTCTGTTAGGTCTTGGGTGTTTAAATATGTATTTATATGTCTATCTATCTATAATATGTATGTATATCCTTGCCTATACCCATAACACAACTTCACCAGCTTATATGGACTCGGTCAATTGGTGTGAATTGTCTTTAAAAAAAAAAATATATATATATTTATTGTGTATTTTTTAAATTCTTACCAGTGACATCATAAAAATCTGGTTTGTATGTTTCTCCAGTAGGGTCACCTTTATCTTGTGAGAGCCACCTTATTTTAATTTTTCGTGTAGTACGGTATACATTCTGAAGAGCTTGACACACGTAAAAACCTCCTTCAGCATTTCGTACAGCCAGGTATTCATTTCTAGAAAAAAGAATAACTTATAAATTAAGTTATTTAGGAAAATTATATTTTTTTAACAATATTGATATAAAATTTTCTTCTTAATGAAATTTGTAACAAAAACATACTTATAAAACACAATAAGTTTGTCATCATTTTGTTTAGTTGGAGTGGATCTTCCAGCTGAGGCAGACAACTTTGTAGCCATCGCTATTTCTGGTGTTGGTGACTGGTATAATTGAACCTGAAAATATTTATTAATATTATATATATGATACAGAAAAATATTACAACTATTATGGATAACTATTGTTATTTATATATACATTAACCTTTTTTGACCTTATAAATCAGATATTAAGTTAGAACTGTATCATTACTTACCAATTTTTATAAATATATAAATACATACTTCAAACTAGTTTCAGAATTGAAAAAAAAAGCCAGAATTTTAGGCAAATTCAAAATTGATTAAATATAGCCATAATATTTACCTTAGTCCGATTTCTCTTAGATTTTGTGTCAGGTGTACTTTCATCAGCAGGTTTTTTGGCCGGTGTTGTTTCACTTTTTTCAGATGCTTGTCTTCGTTTTCTCATAGGAGTGACTGTAGCTAACTTCAGTGTTGACTTGGCAGCTACTTTAGTTTCAGACTTTAATGGAGTCTTAGATTCTGACTTTTCTTCTGTTTTATCTTCTTTTGATGTTTTATTTTCTTCTGATTTAATTGATGAATCTTCATTATCTTTTTGTTCACCAACCTTTCCTTCTAAGTTAGGTATGTTTTCTGGACTTTCTCCATTTTCTTCTGATTTTGTTGGCTCTGGCTTAGGATTTTCATTTGGTAATGATTCTTTTTGAAGTGATGGCATGGTGGAAGCTTGACACTGATTTTCATTAGCAGATTCAGGTGTTGGTTTATTGTCACTTTGTGTTGGTGCAACATCTGCTGTTTGAGCAGATTTTAATTCTATTGGTTTAGAAGGAGACTTTTCAGGTGGCTCATTAGCTGTAGCTACTTTAGGTTGTACAAGAGGATCTGATGCAATTCCAGTATTAGATGTTTCTGCTTTCTGTGGTATATTCTGAGATGTTACAGGTTTCTCAGGTGGCTTAGGAGTACTGGGTGATGTTTTAGCTATATCTGGCTTATCTTTTGTTTCTGGATTCTGTGGCTTCAATGGAGCTGGTGCACTACTTCCAGTTTTAGGAGAGTCTATAGCACCATTTGCTTGAGCTGTAGAATCTGGTTCTTTTTTCTCCGGTGTTCTTGTTAAGGCAAGTGGTTGTGGGGGCTGAGTTGTTGCCGGTTTATCTTGCACAAGACTTAATGGAGCAGGAGCACTTGTTGTTGCACTTTTGCTGGGACTTGCTGCCACATTTGTTGGAGTTATTGAGTTTGGTGTGGCATGTGAGAGGTTGCCATGATGGCTCATGTTTTGTGCCATCTGAGCCATGTTAGCTGAAATTGGCGCCATCGATGGTACTGCGTGGGCGGGCACCGGTGGTGGATTAGGTATGTGGTGGATTAAATTCTGGCCTACAAGATTGTTTGTGCCAGGTAGGAGGGAATTTTGCGCGCCCTGGGGTAAGCCCACTGTGTGATTAGCGTTAGCCACATTACCTTTAGCAGGACTAGCTTGACCCCCCGGTTGAGGTACGCCCGGTTGTGGAAGTACTGGCTTTAATGCAGAGTTCATTTCAATAAATAAATACTATTACTTCGTTGTCTATTTCATAAACATTTAATATCGCGGTTTCACTGTTGTCGATACAGGTTAACACACTGAAATGTCTTTGACCCAAAACAATAATTCATACATATCACAAACTGTTGTCTATGTATAAACGCGGTACGCGCGTAAGAACGCTACAGCAATTGCCCGCTTTTTTATCACTACTCTCTACACCTACCTAATTATTCATGTTTAAAATGTAGCAACAATAAGTTTACACTTAAAAGTTAGGCACTATAATCTTAAGACACCAATATGTAAAGATTGCAGTGGAAATAGCTATAAAAATATGCGTTGCTACATCTGACTAAGAACTTCCGCAACACCGATACCCGCCGTCAGCATCGATATATTTAACACGACCGTTGGTCACATAGCACTATCACTTTTTATTATTAAGAATACATTGAATTTATTATTACCACTTTTAAATATTAATTAACATACATAGAATTAACTCAATTGAGTGAAATTTTCAACAAGTATTACGCACAGTAGTTTAGAGATGGCGTCGGCATAACGCGCATGCGCCACCTTCTTCTTAAATGTCCCAATCAAATCTCAAAAATGTTGTGATTCAAACGATGTTGATCGAAAACATTTTATCTCGCTCTTTCGCGGAACAGTCTTATGACAATGTTGAAAAATATGTATTCGCTTTCTCATTCTACCGTTTTGGTACCACGTTTAGGAATAACCGGTAAATGAAAGTACATGTAGACAAAATAATATGTCTTTTACACCAGTATAACCTGTGGTATTATTATTTAGAAGTGTTTAGCTTTGTTTGAGCGTAGAAAGTAGATTGTAATGAGACAGTAACACAATTTATTTTTGCTGATTAGATAATAACAAAAGTTACACTATAATCTTGTATAACTTTTATACTCTTGTATGTCTCAAGTTACCTGTATCAAACAAACTCAACCTTTTGTCGGTTACCAATTGAAACAGGTTTCAATTAAGGATACCGATTAAATCCCTATCTAAACTTTCTTGCGTTAAACTATTGCTATTTTATACACTAAACCAAATCATCAGTCTATACTTCTAGACTTCAGACCGGTAAGTTGGACTTGGGGTGAGATCTATAGGGCGCCCCGGGGGGGGGCCCCGCCCCCCCCCCCCCCAAACCCCCCCTTGTGGGCCCCCGGGGGCCCCCACCTCTTTTTTTTTTTTTTTTTCCCCCGGGGGGGGGGGCGCCCCCCCCCCCCCCCCCCCCCCCCCCCCCCCCCCCCCCCCTTTTTTTTTTTTTTTTTTTTCTTTTTTTTTTTTTTTTTTTTTTTAACCCCCCCCCCACCCCCCCCCCCCCCCCCCCCCCCCCCCCCCCCCCCCTTTTTTTTTTTTTTTTTTTTTTTTTTTTTTTTTTTTTTTTTTTTTTTTTTTTTTTTTTTTTTTTTTTTTTTTTTTTTTTTTTTTTTTTTTTTTTTTTTTTTTTT